AGCTCCTGTCCCCTGTGTTTCTGCAGCTCGCGGGGTGCCCGAGGCACAGTCCCCAGGTCAGTTGGCTCCTTCGGGCTCTCCCGGCATCGCGTCGGTGTCAGGGTGCAGCCGGTGTCGGCTCCAGCCCCACGCGGTCCAGTGTCCCCCGAGCCCGGCAGTGTGGCTGTGCTTCGGGGGCGAAGGTTGGTCTGCGTGGGTGAAGCCCCAGGAGCCGCGCTTATCGCTCACAGCATCCGCGCGGTGACGCCGTTTCGGGGAAACTTTTATCTCGCAGCCGCACGCCAGGGCATGAGGACAGCAGGCAAACCTGGGAGGTGAAAGAGGCTTCAATCCCACATCTCTGTATCCCCACATTTTGTCCCAGCCCAGGGACACGTAGGGATGTGTCCCCCCTGTCCCCACACCCTTGGCTTTCATCTCCCTCTTCCCTTTTGCTCTCGTGAGCACAATGAGCCCATTCTGCTCCAAAGCAGACGTTGGCATTTGAAGTTTCCCCGATTTTTCTTTTTTTTTTCAACTGGGAAACCGCAGGACTATTCCCAGGGAGTGAGGCGCATTCCTCGTGGGAGACAGGGCCTTGCCGAGGGCCAGCGCCCGGCCCGTGGGGTGGTGCTGAGCTGAGGTACCGCGAGAGCAAGCTTGTGAGCGACAAACCGCAGCAGAGCGGGCTGCTCTGCCTCGAGGGGGGAAAAAAAAGCAATCCGTGGACAGATATATTTCTAAATGCGGTTTTTAATGTTCCTAAAACACCCCAGGTCTGAAAACAGACCAGTAAGGTTTCTCGGGTGGTTTAAAATCTTCAAAGCAGGCAGTTTTCCAGTGTGTTTTCTGGTTGCTTTGGAAAACTACAGAAACAAACGATCTCCTGGAAAAGAGCAACCAGCAGAAGGCACGGGAGAGCACGGAGCAGGGAGGTAAGCCATGCCAGAGCATCACAAACATTTCATTTTCAGACCTCGGAGTGCCTCCAGCTCCCACTCAGCGTGCGAACCCCCAAGGGGGGGGACATCACCCACACCGCCTTGGCTCCTCTGGCACAACTCAGCTAAGCTGCACCCCACGGGAGCGGGAAGTGTCCCCACGGAGCACCGACCGACCCCCCGGGAGCTTCCTGCCATCCCCCTCCCCAGTTCAAACCCGAGGGTGTATTTACTCTCTTTTAACAGGGCACCCTGCCAATCTAAGGGTTGAATTGTTATAGAAGACGCTCCAAAACTAAGATTGTTCCTCTAACGGGAGCTTCAAAACCCAAAGCATTAGGTGTGACAGGATGCGAGCAGAAGCGAGCGCTGGTGCTGCGTTTCCTGGAGCGGGGGCACCAGCTACTCGCCCCCGGCAGCGTGTTGTCGGTGCCCTCCAGCACCCCGGTGAGGACGAACTCGCAGAGATTGCGAAATGAAACTCTGACACAGCTGTAGTTTGGGGGCGGACGTGCCGCCCCAGACTTGTATACCGCATCGATACACAGACCGATCTGCAGTTCTTACAGAAACATGAAGACCAAGGCAACGTTTCCCACTAAATTCTATAAAATATCAGGCAAAACTATACATCTTCCAAAAAAAAAAGTGCAGCCCTTCCAGTACCGGAACAGCAGGATGTTCTCTCCCTAGAGAAGCCACCAAGTTCTCCGCAGCTGAGCGGTCTCCTTCGCTCTAACATTTCAAAGACAGTGGTGAGAGGACACAGGCTGCGGAAACATCCCCATCCCAGCCCTGTGAGCACTACGAGAGCGGCTGTACACACACCAGCCACCGTGAGACGTTGTGCGTAAGTTGTGCGCATCTTACAGCTTCATTCGGTGGTGCGCAGGGTCCTACTAAGAGCTAGAATAATTGCACTGCAAATTTAAATGGAATGAGAACAAGCTTTACAGTCAGTTCAGGCTTTGGTTGCTTTCTTCTCTGCCTCTTCTTTGTTTGGATCTTGCTTCAACTTGTAATCGGCCAAGGCAGCCTTGATTGCGTCTTCAGCCAACACTACAAACAAAAAAACCAAGTATTTCAAGGACAATTAAAAGTAATTAAGAACAAAAGATGTCGTAAAAAAAAGAGCATCCAGCAGCGACCACCACTGCAGGTAGCACTGGTCGGCATCATAGAAGCAGAATTTCAGAATCTCAACACTTATTATCAGTCTGCTGAGCTACAAAGTCCAAAAGATGAAAGAGATCTCAAAACTCTTAAAATAACCCCAGAATATGAACATAAGCAAGTTTCTCTTGTGGGCCAAACTCAACTGTTCCTCGTGCAGAAACTTTATTTGGCAAACAACATTCAGAAGCATCTGCGCTGTTCCCAGAAGCCTCCCTCCCAAGCACAGCTTTGCATTTGAACTTTCACCGTCTGGAAGTTACTTACTGGAGCAGTGCAGTTTGACTGGAGGAAGGCAGAGCTCTTTAGCGATATCTGTGTTCTTGATTTTCAACGCTTCGTCAACCTGAAACACAGCCAGCACAGTCCCTGGTCATGTGAGGTGAACAGGGGCTACAAAGGCAGCTGCTGTCAGAGGGCTTTGATGCTCCACAGCCCACAGAATCCATGTGGAAATACATCTGAGCTGTGAAGGATGTTGGAGCATCTCAGACTGAGCAGGGGTGGGAACGAACCAGAGCTCAGCAGTGATACAGGGCAAGTGCCACTCGTGATGTTGTTCTGTGCTTACCTTTTATCATAATATAGAAATGCAGTTCTTGTCTGGCAGAGAGAGTATAAATAACCTAAAGACATGCTGTAAACAAACTTTCAGAACCCAGAATCAGCAGGTTTTTGCTTTCTGCATAACACACAAAACACTTCCCTGCAGATTAATGGAGGTTCTCAGAAAAGGTAACTATTGCTCTGGAAGTCCGAGCACTAACAGCGCTGACAGCTGCTGCTTTCCAAGCTCCTGCACTGCGCTGCACAAAGTCAACCCTGGGACTCCAAGGTCGCTGTTTCCTGCGCAGCCCCAGCAGAGAACGCTGGCACATTTGAAACTTGGAAAGCTTTCCGCAGCGTCCCTTACCGTTTTCCCTTTGACCCACTCCGTCGCCAGCGAACTTGACGCAATCGCCGACCCGCAGCCGAAGGTTTTGAAACGGGCATCGACGATCCTCCCGTTCTCGTCCACTTCCACCTGCGAGAGCGTCGGTGGTACCTCAGCGGCCAGTCTGGCTCCGCCAGGTGCCCCAGAGCCACCCTGTCAGGCCCAGGCAGAGCCCTCAGGAGGGGGACAAGGCCTGCCCGGGCCCAGGGGACATTTCAGGGCCCGCCTGGGCCCAGGGGACACTTCGGGGCCTGTCC